AAAAAAAAAAAAAAAAACAAAGACTTTCAAAAGCCGTTCAGTAATGGTGGACAGTTCCTCTGAATTAACAAATAAGTATTAATTTCTCTCCAGAGGGCATGGTGACTCTCTATTCTGTACCACTTCATTTCTCCAAAATCCATTCCTCTTCTGTTGTATGTGTAACAATTAGAACTCTGATGCACAACATGCGACGTGATAACAGCAATTACTGAGAAGAATCTGTACGAACCATCAACCAGTAGTATTTAAAACCCAGCAAGCCTCTCAAATCTGAGTAACTTGCTGACGGAGTAAAGTGCCTCAAACATTTAAATGTTTGAGTTTATGCCGGGCACAGTGGCTCAGGTCTGTAATCCCAAGGCTGAGGTGGGCAGATCACCTGAGGTCAGCGGTTGGAGAACAGCCTGACAAACGTGGCCATCTATACCAAAAATACAAAAATTTGCTGGGCATCGTGGCACATGCCTCTAATCCCAGCTACTCGGGAGGGTGACGCAGGATAATCGCTTGAACCCAGGAGGTGGAGGCTGCAGTGAGCCGAAATAGCACCACTGCACTCCAGCCTGGGCGACAGAGCAAGACTTCGTCTCAAAAAAATAAAATTAAATAAATAAATAAATAAATAAATGCTTGTGTTTAGTAGGAGAAAGCTGATTATAAGAATTAACTCTGGCCAGGCGCAGTGACCCACACCTGTAATCCCAACACTTTGGGAGGCCAAGGCAGGTGGATCACCTGAGGTCGGGAGTTCAGGACCAGCCTGGACAACATAGTGAAACCCCCATCTCTACTAAAAATACAAAATTAGCTGGGTGTGGTGGTGAGCACCTATGATCCCAGCTACTCAAGGGGCTGAGGCAGGACAATCACTTTAACCCAGGAGGTGGAGGTTGCAGTGAGCCGAGATCACACCATTGCACTCCAGCCTAGACAGAGCGAAACTCTGCCTTTAAAAAAAAAAAAAAAAAAAAAAAAGTCACGTAAGCCCTGAGCCGACCCAATCTTCCTTACTATTATAAAGACATACTAGAAGAAGGCATAAGCAGGCACAAAAGCATAATCTTAAAAGAAAAAGACTAAAAGACAAAAATAACACAAGCAAACCACACTTGTGACCTAGTGGCAGGATTGATTTCTTAGGGATTAATTCAATCTTTTGAGCTTCCCTGTTCTCAGAGAGGGGACTTCAGCCTCCCACAGCTCTCTAGCAACCCTTCTGGCTGACTGCAGGGAACGCGCAAAAGTAAAGGAACGAAAGCAGGAAAGAGAGTCTCTTCCCGAGAAAAAAGATGTAATATTGAAATGAGAGAAAACGAACAGCACGAAAGGGAAGAAACCTCAAAAAATTACGCCAGAGTGGGGACTACAAGGAGGAAGGGGAAGTAGATAAGAGAAAAAAAAAAGGGGGTGATGGGGGGAGGAACGGACAAATGACTTGCATTACACAAGCATTTCGTGTCCCTAGTGGAACGGACAGAAGTAGAGAAGGAAGGACATAACTGGAGAAGTACTAAGTGAAAGAGAGGTAAGAAAGCCAAAAGAGACTAATGCTAATTTCTCTCATGTGTCTGACATTTCTGAAAGTAAACAACATTAAGAGGAGATAGACCTCAAGTGCACTTCAGTCCCCTGCAAACCGCACTTTCATAGCGTTTGAAGCTAGCCTTGAAAAACTTTCTAAACAAGCCATAACTCACATGTGGCTTACAATCACAGAGACGGCGCGCTGCAAATGAAAATTACCAGCGCCCGCTCTCGCCGCAATCCTTCCTCGGTGCAGTCCAACCTGCTGCTGCTGAATTTTTCTTGACAAACATTTTTCAAATAGTTTTTTTTTTTTTTTAAGTGTCAGAATAAAGGTATCTCCCCCGGCTCCAGCAGCAAACGTTCTACCCCAAGGTAGATTCCCGCACAAAATTAAGCCCAAAGACGCCAAGAGATGGTGACGTGGTTGCCGTGCAGGTCGAAAGCACATCAATCACCACAGCTGCAACCCACACCAAGTCCCCCGCCACCGGGCTCGGGCGGACTGACTCAGCCGGCGTTCTGCCCGCCTGGGCTTCCCGGGCATCTTCCGTGCAAACCCTCCCGATGAAGGCAGGGGACTTCGCCAGGGAGCCCCGACCTCTTCTTCCCCTGGACTCCCGGACTGCCCAGAGCCGAGAGCCGGAGGAGGACGGTCCCCAGGAAGGAAGCGCCCCAAAAGGGGAAACGTAGAGTCCGGAGCCCCGGGGATTCCGCTGCACGTCCCGAGCCTCGCCGCCCCGACCCGAACCCCGGGGCCGGTCCCGGTTCCCCCGGG